AGTCTAAATACTTTGTGTTAAGCACAGCAGAATTAGATTTATTGTGTGTATACTGCAGTTGTTGGATAAGTAGCTTTCGAAAATCAATATTTAATTAGCTCACATACTGTTTTATTACAAGCGCCACTGAGAATCGCAAAGTATTTTCCCTGCTGCCTTCCCAAGACACAGCTTTGGTTTCTCGGGAAACAGGCTTTGGCACACCGGGATTTCACCGTTGGGGCTGGACTCCCAGATCCCACAGAAAACAGAGATGTCACACTGTTTGCATTTGATCTGATCTGATCTTGTAAACAAGTCCCAGCTTGTAGCTTTTATCGCAGGGTAATGAGAAAAGGAAAGTTTATTCAATCTCTATCTCAAGCTCTCCAACCTGCCTTGTGCTCTCCTCCACGAGCTGCAACCACAGCTGTCAAAATCTTATCTGACAACAGATGGGTCTCTATCTAACATGCATTATACTGTAATTAAAATGGAAACTACATCACTATTTGCTTTATAATACTCACTAAATATTGCTCATTTCCTTGAACAATATTTTGATGAATCTGGGTGAATCCTGCAGTTCATTATTGAGGGTAGGCCTAAGGGTAGGTTATTATGGTAAGAGCAAAGATACATAGTAAGAACATATAAATATAACAGCCCCATGTAAATGGAAAATTACTAGTTACAAATAGAACAAACATTTCTTAGTATCAACAAAGATTTAGTTTTGAATGGCATATCAAGGTGTTTGAACATTGTGCCAAAAAGGCAGGCAGAGAGCAAAGAGCTATTCAACGGTATTGCCTGTGGACTCCCTGCAGTTGATTGTGCATTACTGACTTACAATGCCTTGTATTGTCTCTACAGTCTACAGTATATGGAGATGGCCATCTTTGAAGAAGCAGAGTTTTGCTTCCTCATGTCAGAGCCTCCAGCAAGGAGAATAGTAAGCAGCACAGCAATGACATCACCAAATTTCACTTCATATCTTCTGAGACTAGCAGTCACAGGGAACATTGCTTTAGATCTCACACTATAGATATACAACTATATACAGCTCACATATTATGAAGCACTATTTTTCAGGAGGAATTTAAGACAAGGGGTATGTTTTTCAGGCTACTACTCATGCTGGCCATTAATGGTCCATTTTTGGCCAGTCTCCAGCATAGAAGCTACAAGATCATATCTAGATGGAATAGGTGCACTATAGGCTTGCAAATCATGGATTCAGCATGTCCATACACATGCTGGAGATGTCTCAAAGTGGTATGATGACTCACATATGGAACAAATGCCTGCTCATCATAACCTGGGACAAAATCCTGAAAATGTACAATACAATCATGAGCACTGACATTAAATGAGACCTAAACATTACCCTGTTGTCAATTAATCATTCAAATCAGGTTCATTCAAATCTATTAAAAAAAGGTTCCTTAAAGATGTTCTTATGGCAGCAAATACAATCATAGGGAGACAATGGGAGATCCAACCAGGTTTCTACAGTTGCACAGTTGGTATGTGAGATGAATGTAACTGAATCCTTTGGACAATTGATACATTGAGAAGAGAGTAAACCTGAACCTTTCCCAATTAGTTAGTTCCTATGTGATTATTCTAAATCCTCTGTAGAGCTTTCTCTTTCTCTACAGATATCTGTTGCACTGATGAGGAAGATCCTCAAGGGGAGTCGCATCCTCTTCCCTTAGACTTATAATTCCTTTACCGCACCTTCCTTTTTTCACCATATTTCCCCCCTTTCTCCTTCTTCCCTTCCTTTCCCTCTCTTTCTAATATATATGTATTTCTACTGTTTTTCTCCCTCAGAGACCTATAATCTACTCAATGTACATAGCCTAATGAGAAAATGGGGATCTTAGTTATCAGTTAGTTACACATCGTAAAACCACAATATTATACTAAAAAATGTTTTTGAATTGCTCTATATTGTATCTGGTTGACTTAAAAAAAAAAGGGTTATGTAATATAAATGTGTTAAATACTGTATGTATAACTGTGTTACTTATGTAAAGACAATTTGATTGTCTATTTCTGTAATCCTCTGGTTAAAACCAGAAAACGTAATAAACATAGATGATACATACATAAAATACCCTGGCACATGAAGGCTCAGTGCATACTAAAAAACTGTGGTGTCCTTCGAAGAGTGGCATCCCTTCTCTTTTATAAATAACCCCAGCATATAATGCCTTTGTAATGTGTTTAACAGCACACACATAACAGAAATTAAAGATGTGCATTAGTTACTTTTAGTAAGACTTGCCTTTTTTTTATTTTCATTTTGGACTTTGTGTAATACCTCTTCCTTACCTTTGCTATCTGGACACACCAGTTGAGAAGAAGTTGAGAGCCAATGTTATCTTTGTGTTCATGCACATAGTCCAGAAGGCATCCATGAGGCATCAGCTGGGTAACCAATTGAATGGTGGGACTCAGACACACTCCTAGAAGACGAACCAGGTGAGGATGATCCATGCTAGCCATTATTAGGGCTTCCTGCAATGCAAAAGACACAACAAAGTTACTTATTTTGTGAACTCATGGACTTAAAGTGTTATTAAACCCATGACCCTACATTCACTATATCTGGTCTTGCACAGTCCACAGAACACGGAAATGCAATTATTTTAGTAAATATAAACTGCTAAATACCTTTTCTCATCAGCAGTATATAGCAGTCTGGTGACTTCTATCAGTGACTGGATGAGCGCTAGTCAAAGTTTGTAGGAGTAGTTTTCATTCTGTTCTGACTGTGCTATGAGACTGCATGACCCCTGACACTCCGTCTGGACAGTGCTGATTGGGCCTGGTCTGGTCACATGCACCCCCCTAAAAAAAAAAACACCTCTCTAGCAATACACACCAAACTGAGCATGTGCAGACTGCCTCCTAGGCCTCTGTACTATCAGCATATGGATTGGGGACTGTGGAAGAGGGGGAGGATCAGAGAAGACAGGATCAAACAGCCTTTTTATATACAATGCAGAGGATTAACCCCTTAGATTCCATAGTGAGTATAACAGGCATGCTTTACTGCATATACAGATTCATTTTATTGTTGTGTTGTGCAACAGCAGTACCATTTTTTAGAGCAGGGATGCTCAACCTTTTGAAGAGCAAGGGCCATTTAAGTGATTTAACCAGTCATGAGCTACAATGAAATTAAATGGTTCAGAATTTCAATTTTTTAAAAAAAATTTTGAATAGCATAATGATCATTTTCCTCCTGCAGATGCTGAAAGCTGGTGGGAGGGAGAGGAGAAGAAGTGAGCTTTCAGTGTGAAAGCAACCTAACAACAAGTGCTAACATGCCCACTGAAAAACTATGTGATGTTTAATAAACTGATGTTTTTCTCTTCCAGCTTCTGCTGGCATCACTACGCTGCTAGAAAGGTCCCAGGCGAAGTACACTTGGTATTACTCTGCCTAGGAAAGGATCCGGCGTTACAGAGGAACCATCAGCTTATGCAGCTCCTGCTCCCTCTGTGGGCAATATTTTCCTCTGCTGCCAGTGTTGGCTCCATGCACCTGCCTAAAGGGAGTGTGATCTGGCATATGGAGGCTAAAATTGCTGAGCTCCTTGTAAAAATGCTTGTTACCTGTCTGTCTCTGACCTCAGTACTTTCTGAGTCACTGACATTGAACAGCCATGTAGCTAACAAAAGTCAGAGAACTTCTAATCAGTCAGACGTTATAATATCTATACTTGTTTCAGATCAATGATTTAAATCATTTTGAAGACACTGCACAAGCCTGATAGCCAAGCAAATTGCATTTTTAGAAGGAGAGCTCAGCAATAGCTTTTGCTATTCCTTCACAACATGTAAATACATAAAAGAAGACATTTGACATGTTTTGCAATTATGTATGACATAATCTATTACTAGCTGAGCCAAATCACTTAAAGTGTTTTGAAAGGTGCAAGGTTTTTTTTTTTTTTTACCTTAATGCATTCTATATATTATGGTAAAAAAAAACCTTCTGCAAGCAGCTCCTCACCCAGCACCCCCTAAATACTTACCTGAGAGTGATCTCAGTTCATCAATGTGCACAAGAGCAGCGTCTCTCTCTGTACTCATTGGCTCAGACACAGCAAAGGGAGTCATTGACTCCTGCTATTGTCAACCACAGCCAGTGAGGAGAGAGCAGGGGAGTGAGACTGAGTAGCGCACTGTGTGTCAGTGGACTTGCTATGGGGGCACTCAGCAGGAAGGAGGAGGCAGGAGCGCCAGGGGGGGACCTCGGAAGAGGCGGATGGGGGCTGCTGTGCAAAACCATTGTACAGAGCAGGTAAGGATGACATGTTTGTTTAAAATCACTTTAAAGAACAATAATGCACACAATATTTCAAGGACATGTTCAGCATGTAGCTAAATGCTGTTTCTTAACATAAAGTGGATAAAGGTGGTTATTGCATACAGTATATTATCATTTGTATGCTTAAAGGATAAGTTCACCTTTCTGAACATGTTACATGTTACACCCATATTTAGGGTGTAACATGTAACATGTTCAGCATCAGACCCCCAACCCACCCCCCATCTTTGTGGCAGAGAGCCAGGGATCTTCTCCCCATACTCGCTACCACAATTCAGAAAGTGTGGCTGCACAAGGCTTCACCCACATGACCATATACTTGATTCACAGGTCCCTGTGAATAAATGAACTACAAGTACTGACATCCTTTGCAGTTGTCTGCCTGTATTTCTCAATGATTTACCACAACGCTGTTGAGTGCTGTTGCAGTTCGTTTACCAGTATTCTTTCTGTCTGTTTTTAAAACTGCCTGCCCGTATGATGTATGGGTAGACAGCTTACACTGACAATATGCAGGAGTCCTGCATGGCACCATTGTTCTGCTGATAGCTAGTGCAATGATTTCCAGGCTCCTAAAACAAAAAATATAGTAAATGCACATTTTGGTACCTGCAAAAAAATTAGCATTTATTATTTTTTGTTAAAAGGAGAACCAGGGGCGGACTGACAACTCATGGGGCCCCCGGGCAATAGGGGATCATGGGGCCCCTGTATCCTTGCCCAAACACAAAAAGCCTATGAAAAAGGTACCAGGGGCATCTCATGGGGCCCCCTACTGACCCCGGGCCCCCGGGCAGTGCCCGAGTTTTCAAATTGTCAGTCCGCCCCTGAGGTGAACTCATACTTTATTTTTAAGAAATAAGATGACATGGCATAAAAGACACATAACTTTTGCACAAAATAAGAGCAAAGACTGGACTGACACACCAAAGGAACGTTAAGGAGCAGTTCCCTACATACAGGATATAATGACAGGATAAAATGCGCCGTGTTAAACACGTTTTAAATGCCTTTTCAAATATCTCACTTGCATCTATTGTAACTAAATGGCCATTATCAAATTAAATGTGCCTGTGGACCTTAAATTAGTGGTATTCTTCAGGAAGAGATTGGAGAAAGTTAGGGGTTAATGGCAACAAAGTATTTTTGGTTGAGAAGTATGTTAATGTTACTGCAGGGGGCAGTTTTGTAACCAACTATTTGCATAATATTTGAAGTTTCGACAGAAGAAGCTGAAACAAACCTCTCTTAATTACTAGTCACATCTCACAGTTTTCTCTTTGTAAGGAAAGAGCAGATGTCTTGGCTCCACATTTGCTCGTCATAATCGTATTTTCAGTACAGAACAAAATATATATGTTTCAGATGAAGTGATGTTGCTGAGTCGCTAGAAAGAAATCCAAACACTTGAACGATTGCACTGAGCTCAGGGATGCACTGAGCTGTAAGACGTGCACAGCATCACAAGACGAGAAACTGTAATGTGGGATAAACCCCTCTTACTGACAAGACATTGCTCCACTAAATGGTATGCATGTGTGTGTGTTTCGTTAAAAACTGCAGTCTCCCAATAAAGTATGTGATCTTGGAGGGATATCATTTTGGCTTGGATCGACCTACAATTTCACTCTAAATGACTATGTGTAGAACCCTTCTTGTGCTATTAGAGCATCCTTCAATCCAACAATGAAATTACTATTTACACAACTCTCCATCGAACATCCCAGCACCCAATAATTATTACTGCTGGCTAAAGTAAAACAGGGTATATAGAATGATAGCAAACAGGTTTTAGTGTTCACCCTCATTCTATAATAGTCTGTTTTACTTATCCATTAACAGCCAACTATTTTTAACCAGCAATAATTACTGGATGCTGGAAAGCCAAAAACAAAGGGGTTTTTACGCTAATATCTCTAGAATGTTTGCCCAGAACTGAGTGATCCTCTCACATTTTCCTCTCATTTTAGCTAGTTAGGTTTCAAAAGGGAATACAACTAAAATACACCAATAAAAATTACCTGACCCTGGGGTTTTTCAAAGGCCACTGTCCCACTTTGAATATATCTGTCCCCAACAAGGCTCCTTAATAGGTACTCTTTCAAGATCATAAGAAATTACTCCTATCCAACCTCCAGTTACCCCCACCTCCTTTCTTTAAAAAGAGAGATCTTTTCCAGGGAACATTGTACTTTTCTCACACAATGCTTCTATTTGTAATACATTTTAGGAACTTAACTGTAAATGATGAGATAGTACAGAAGCCATCTGGTTCTGGCCCACATATAATGTAAAAATGTTACAGATGTGTCTCAGATAAAGGTACCAATCTGCATATTTTTGTAAATGTCCTGAGAGTAGAATGTTGTGGTCTCATTTTCATCAAGTGATTTTCTGACTCATAGATATTAAGGTGGTTCTAAAGGCTAAAGGTTTTTTTACCTTCAAGCATGCCAAGGGCATTAAATATGGTCTGTCTATGGTGCTTTGACCATAAACTCATCTTACATCTTATAAATAACACAAAAAGTTGGAGTTAAATGGCCATAGCAATCTTTTATTAACCAAAGTATATAAATAACAGAAGAATAACTGATAAATAAGGTAATCACACAGTATAACAGAAAAAAATGGAGCCCCAAGGTCCTATAAGGTATCAAGCGAAGGAAAAAATACCTGCATGTCACTTCATCAGAGACAACACACAGATATAAATCCCAACAACTGTGAGCTGTACCTCGAACGGGTCCCTGCAACGTACCTTTTTACCTATCATAACCTAAAAGGAACCTTATACCCCCCGCATGCTGCATGATGAAGCGAACCACAACCATCAACATACCCCAGCACCAAAAGTCCACCAATGTAGGGCGGGAGGGTGAGAGGTTTTCCCTTACTCAGCAGACCTCCGACTAAAGACCTTCTCAGACCAACTGCCAGACAACCGCTTCAGCTCCACCCATTCCAGACCTTGACCCACTCAGATATGTTTTCCCATCTACTTTACTTTCAAAGTTTACAACCTCCCACCTAGCCCAAGCCCCTTTACAACCACTTTAAAGGATAAGTAGGGTCAAAGCTCTTTTGTCCCTACTTCTCTTGTGGGTCACAGGAGTGCACCTAGTTTTGCACTCCTGTGGCTTACTAAAGCCCTCTGTCAGCATAGAAAGGAGGCCTGTAGTAAAAATGCACAAGAAAATTGACAGAAGGCCGGCATGATGGGGGTTAAAGGCAGAAGGTTTTTTACCTTCATGCATTCTATGCATGAAGGTAAAAAAACTTTCATGTGCAGCTCCCCCCTCAGCTCCCCCTAATACTTGCCTGAGCCTGATCTCGGTCCAGTGATGTGAAGGAAAGCAATGGCTCTCTCTCCTCATTGCTTGAGACACAACAGGGAGTGAACACTCAGCAGGGGGGAGGGGCAAGGAGCACCAGCAGGGAACCTGAGAAGAGGAGGATCGGGGCTGTTCTGTGCAAAACCACTGCACAGAGCAGGTAAGTATGACATGTTTGTTATTTTAAAAAAAGTCTGAACCTTTAGTATCATTTTAACTTTGAAAACAACCTTGCAGCTTGCCTGCTGCATCTCACACCAACCCCCAAATCCAGATATAGGAATAATAATGATACATCCAGGGCCAGGACAAGGGGTGGGCAGGAGGGGAAGCTGCCCTCAGTGCAGTGAATGCAGGGTGGTACACCCATTTTATGGCATGCATTAACAGTGGGGGAGGGGCACAATTCTGCATTCTTGCCTTGGGAGCTGGATGACCCTGTACTGGATACATCTCCTCAATTAAGCTCTGGCTTGCATTCCTTGTGTTTGTAAGCAAATCTGAGAAACCTCTAACACCCAATGATAAGTTAATGTTTTTACATGGATAGATATTATGTACATGGCAGACTTGACAGCTTCTCTTAGAGAAAGATCAGGCGCCGTCAGGAAAACTTGGCTCTACTGGGCACAATACAAGTTTTCCTCTGAATATATGACAGCTTTCCATAGTTCTTCTGCAGAAAATTACCACAGTATCTACCCTTTGACGTATCGTGGTGTCTAGTCTTCCAGTTCACCTGGAGCTGCATCATCATGGGCATACACCCCCTTCCTCTCCACATACTAGTTGACACAAACCATTTACTAAACTGACAGGGGTGCTTTTATTTATTCATGTAAAAACCTTTATCCAAACAAATGTTTCTGTAACTGCTTGTGTAACTGCAGTGTAAGACTTTAATTTGTTAGTGTATCTAAATCTGCTAAACAACATCTAACACCCCCCCTCAGATTGACAATGCTGCTGTCTATAGATGTACAGTTGCAAGAAAAAGTATGTGAACCCCTTGGGATTACATGGAGTTTTGCATGAATTGGGCATAAAAATGTGCTCTGAACGTCATCTAAGTCACAACAATAGAAGAACACACAGTCTGCTGAACATAATACTACACAAAACATTAGATGTTGCCATGATTTAATTGCACATAACATGTAAACATTCACAGTGCAGGGAGGAAAAAGTATGTGAGGCCCTAGCTTAATGACTTCTCCCAGAGTTAATTGGAGCCAGCAGTGAGCCAACCTTGACTCCAATCAGTGTGATGATATTGGATGTGTTTGCTGACAGCTGTCCTGCCCTTAAAAAACACACGCCTGTTTTGGGTTTACTGGTTTCAAGAAGCACTGTCTGATGTGAACCATGCCTCGCAGAAAAGAGCTCTCAGAAGAACCTACGATCAAGAATTGTTGACTTGCATGAAGCTGGAAAGGGTTACAAAAGTATCTCCTTTGAGCCTTGATGTTCATGTGTCCACGGTAAGACAGACTGTCTACAAATGGAGAAAGTTTAGCACTGTTGTTACTCTCCCTAGGCGATGGTCGTCCTGTAAAAATGACTGCAAGAGCACAGCGCAGAATGCTGCATGAGGTAAAGAAGAATCCCAGAGTGTCAGCTAAAGACCTACAGAAATCTCTGGCACATGCTAACCATTTTTGTTGACACATCTACAATAAGGAAAACATTAAACAAGAATGGAGTACATGGGAGGACACCACGGAGGAAGCCATTGCTGTCCAAAAAGAATATTGCAGCACGTTTGAAGTTTGCAAAAGAGCACCTGATGTTCCACAGCACTACTCAGGCAGAATATACTGTGGACAGATGAAACCAAGATTGAGTTGTTTGGGAAGAACACACAACCACTATGTGTAGAGAAAAAAAGGCACAGCACACCAACATCAAAACCTCATCCCCACTGTGAAACATGGTGGAGGGAGCATCATGGTTTGGGGCTGCTTTGCTGCCTCAGGGCTGGACGGATTGTTGTCATTGATGGAAAATGAATTCCAGAGTTTATCAAGACATTTTTCAGGAAAACTTGTTACGACCATCTGTCCGCCAACTGAAGCTCCGCAGAGGATGGGTGATGCAACAGGACAATGACCCAAAGCATACAAGTCATTCAACAAAACAATGGCTGCAACAGCACAGAATACGCCTTCTGGAGTGGCCCAGTCAGAGTCCTGACCTCAACTCGATTGAAATGCTGTGGCATGACCTTAAGAGAGCGATTCACACCAGACATCCCAAGAATATTGCTACACTGAAACAGTTTTGTGAAGAGGAGTGGTCCAAAATACTCCAGATCGTTGTGCAGGTCTGATCTGCAAACTACAGGAAACGTTTGGTTGAAGTTATTGCTGCCAAAGGAGGGTCAACCAGTTATTCAGTCCAAAGGTTCACATACTTTTTCCTCCTGCACTGTGAATTTTTACATGTTATTGTGCAATTAAACCATGGCAACATCTAATGTTTGTGTAGTATTATGTTC